CGGGAAAGCTGTTTTCTTTCTGTGTGTTGGATTAAAGTATGAGAAGAAGAGCCAGCGTCAAAACCCCTATTCTGCCCCCCCTTGAGAAACATTTTGCTTAGAATCAGAGGCTCAAATTCCAAGGAGAATATGAAGATAGGATAACAAACACAGCTCAGCGGAGGATCCTATACTCAACTCTATAAAACCTGTGCGTGGCGATGAAATAAGAAACTGAGCCCCGACCCGATATTGACGTTTCATCTCGGGGACCGTTCGTACTGCTGACACGCAAGTACACCGGTTGTTCTGTCCAAGGGCAGCTACGCAGTGGGTTTTCCTTCGGCCCGTGTGCCGAAGGAAAAATGCCTGTCGCCCATCACACACTCCAACTTGATCGATTTGTGTGTTGACATGTGTCTCCCTTCTTGCTCTGTATGATAGTAGAGCACTATCAACACTGCGGGGCACAATACCCTCGTGGTAAGACCACGCGGTAACTCCAGGTGAGTTGAGTGTTTCGAATTGCCTGGTTCTTCGACAAAATGAACGCAAGAGGGCTTGGTCAGTGCCAAAAGGCACATTAAATCAATAGATGTCGAGGAGCTACCGCTGACCGCATGATGTAACATACCACCCTCCCTTCGAACTCATGTGGTTGCCACTATAAGAGGAGTATCCGTCCGTTGTGGTTGCGGTGTCACTCCAAAAACACTCCGTTCTGTTCGCGACATTCGCGCATGAGTTTGAAAGAACACCGAACGAAGTCGACTGTTTTTTGGCCAGTACCACCCTCCAACCACCAACTCGCTCGAGCGCCCTCGTTTCGCGAAACTCCGGAAACGCAACACTACCTAAACCTTCTGAAAAGAGCGTTGCCTTACTTACCCATCAAACCATCCCGCACGGCTATTAACAACACCAGGGCCTGCACCGGTGGCGACCTACTTTCGACCGAGTCCAGCGAAGGAAAATCGCAACAGCGACACCACAGCCGCTGCACCAACGGCAACAGCCCTTGCCGACGAAACGGGAAACAACGGCGTCGGCGATGGGGCAGCGAGGAAAACCAGCACTGCACCAGGATCGGGTGAGAACGCCAAGCTTGTTGCGGCCGACGGGGGAGGAGGAGGAGACGGAGAATCAGCAGTTGGCGATCAGAAGTGGGAGTTGTTCGAGGACGACAGCGCCGAGCACACGGCCCGGTTCCGCGGCCGGAAGTTCGTGTGAGTCCGCGCCTCGAAAGCGTGGCGCCGCCTTCCTGCCTGCCTGCCTGCCTGTCCTGTCTGTCTTGTCTGTCATGCTTTTCTTCTTCTGTGTTCTGCTGTCTTTTCTGTTTTTTCTGTCTTTTCTGTCTTTTCTGTCTTGTCTGCCTTTTCCGTCGTGTCTGTCCTTTCCGTCTTTTCTGTCTTTTCCATCTGTTCTGTCTTTTCCGTCTTTTGTATATTTCTCTATTTCCTGTCCGTTTTTCCATATTTTTCTGTCTTTTCTGTCTTTTCTGTCTTTCCTGCTTTTCTGTCTTGTCCGTCTTTCCTGTCTTTTCCGTCTTTTGTGCCTTGTCTGCTTTCTGTGTTTCTGTCTTTTATGTCTTTTATGTCTTTTGTGCCTTTTCTGTGTTTTTTGTCTTTTCTGTCTCTTTTGTCTTTCCTGTATTTTTGTCTTTTCTGTCTTTCCTGTATTCTCTGTCTTTTCTTTCCTGTGTTTCCGGTCTTTTCTGTCTTTTCTATCTTTTCTATAGTTCTCTATTCTCTGTCCGCCTTTTCCGTATTTTTCTGTCGTTTCTCTTTCCTGTCTTTCCTGTCTTTTTTGTCTTTCCTATCTTTCCTGTCTTTCCTGTCTTTTCCTGTCTTTTCTGTCTTTGTTGTCTGCCTGTCTTTCCTGTGTTTTCTGTCGTTTCTGTCGTTTCTGTCTTTCATGTCTTTTCCGTCTTTCCTGTTTTCCCTGTCTTTGCTGTCGTTTCTGTCTTTTCTGTCTCTTCTGTCTTTCCTGTTTTCCCTGTCTTTGCTGTTCTTTCTGTCTTTTCTGTCCCTTTTGTCTTTCCTGTTTTTCCTGTGTTTCCTGTCTTTTCTGTCTTTTCTGTCTTTTCTATAGTTCTCTATTCTCTGTCCGTCTTTTCCGTATTTTTCTGTCTTTTTTGTCTTTCCTATCTTTCCTGTCTTCCCTGTCTTTTCCTGTCTTTTCTATAGTTCTCTACTCTCTGTCCGTCTTTTCCGTATTTTTCTGTCTTTTTTGTCTTTCCTATCTTTCCTGTCTTTCCTGTCTTTTCCTGTCTTTTCTGTCTTTGTTGTCTGCCTGTCTTTCCTGTGTTTTCTGTCGTTTCTGTCGTTTCTGTTTTTCCTGTCTTTTCCGTCTTTCCTGTTTTCCCTGTCTTTGCTGTTGTTTCTGTCTTTCCTGTTTTCCCTGTCTTTGCTGTTCTTTCTGTCTTTTCTGTCCCTTCTGTCGTTCCTGTTTTTCCTGTCTTTCTTGTCTTTCCTGTATTTTCTGTCTGTCTGTCTGTCTGTCTTTTCTGTCTGTCTGTCTGTCTGTCTGTCTGTCTGTCTGTCTGTCCGTCTATCTTGGTCTGTCTGCCCATGTGTCCATCGGTGGTAGCCCTGTCTGCCGCGCCCCATCCAGTCCCTCCGAAAATTCCCGTGCCCACCCCTAGACCCCCCTTCCACACCTGCTCTGCTTTTTCCATCGCCCTCCACCAACCAGTGGGCGAAAGGTGGAGCTCCCCAAGGGGGTCCATGGGGTCGTGCTTCGCGAGAAGCCGTGCCCGCCGGGGGTGCGTGAGAACAATGAAGACGTGGCGTCCTACTGGGCGGCCGAGACCTCATTCCGGGAAGTGACGGTGAGGGATTCTTCTAGCATTCTTGTTTGCTTCCATCCATGTACCATTGAAACGGGTACCCCTAAGTAGCTTTGGGAAGAATTTCACTTCGTGTCGCTTCGGGCGGGCACAACGAGGCTGGCCTATCTATCGCTGCCAACCTTTTGAGGACCTGGCCGTGTTGGACCGCAAGCTCCGCGGCAGCAAGCTCCTTCTATGACCCGATGGAGTACAAAGACCGTGGGTTGATTTCCTGACGACGGTTTCACACCTTTGAGCCTCTGACACCGAAGATCCCTCTCGCCAAAGGCTGAAAGATGTGAGAATGAAAAAACGTTTGTGCCGGTTAGTCCCCAGTTTTCAGAAACACCTTTGTCTGGATAGACATCCAGCAGGCCTGTTTTCTTTTGTAAAGCGAACCCCGAATTGTTTGATGGTTGCTTTGGCGAACCATGGATGCGAGGATATGACTCTTACACCATGGCCATCCATCAGGATATCAGGATGCCTCCCGCCCCCTTTTAATTGTTGAGGTATCGAAACGGATCTCGAGACAAAAGCAACAAAATTTAGCAATGATGCGGTAAACCATTCAAGACCTGAGGTAAGCGTAGCACGTAAGACCCCCTCAACACCCCGACGGCCGGCTGACGATGTTCCACTCCTGTTCGACAACAACACAGGTCTGGGGGCATGATCAGCCCCGGCGAGAGAGCACCGTTGACCGAAGCCTCGCCTGGCTGGAAGTTTCGAAATCGGTGAGCTGTTTGAATCCCTTGGCCTTGCATGCACCCCCCCGAATAGCGCTTGCATGTTGTGCACACACAGTGGTGCAAGCCAAAATGGAGCAACATGTTTAGGTTGTGGCCTTTACTGCTCTCTCTCGCTCTCTCTCTCTCTCTCCCTCCCTCACACACACTGGTACTACACTCACTTACCATCGCTACACTCCCGTACGTTCCCCTATCCATCTGCTTGCGTGCCTCGCGGTTGCGCCCGCCGTACCGGCGCAGATCCACGACCCATAAAACCCGTATTCCTTGTGTGGAATGAACCCGTGAGGCCGACGCCCCGCGCTCTCCTCAACACAAACAACGCTTGGGAGGAGTACCTCTGGCTGAGGGTCGGCGAAGAAGCATCTTCTTTCCTCCTCGATCGCGAGTGATTGCGGGTAATGCTGTGCCGTCGGGCACTTGAAAGACTGGTGCATGGTTAAACCTTTGTGCCTGCATTTTCGGCATCTTTGTTGTTGTGCGCAGTTTGCGAACTTTCTTGGAGGCGTTACATACGGGGAAAGGGCGAAATACCGCTTTTCGCACGTGGCCATGAGTCTGGAGACCTTTGTGTGATGGACAGCGTCGAAGCGCGATTGCTTCGTACACGCTGGTATATATATATTTACGCAGCAGCGGCACCCATCTGCGTGCCGGCTCCCGGTAGGGACGGAATGGAAGATACCAATCTGAAGAGATAGCTTTGGCGTGCTTGGCCGTGTAGTGCAAGCTGGGTGTTACGACCGAAGAAATAAAGATGGCGTGGTGCACAGCAGTGAAAGGGTTGGAGTCATTCCTCCGGCTGCTGCCCCCTGGCCCGACGGACTCGTTGGCTGCCATCCGCGAATAGAGGCAAAAGAGGACAGGGGCACCATACACCAGGAGTTGACCCCTCCCCGGGGGTCGAGCATGCGAAAGGCTTGTAAAGGTAAGGACATGTGGGTGGCTTGCGCTCTCACGGGCGATGACTGCTACCCAAACAAAAAGAGGAAAACAGTCGTTGTTAATACTGATTACCTGCGCGGACCTAGCACCAAGCTGCCCCGAAGATACCTCGGCAGCCAAGCAGATCTACAAGCGCTCGCCTAGTTCCCCAGCGCTTGCACCCGTGGGGGTCTCGAAACTGTCTCCCTGAGTATTTGAGGCATGTGAAAGTGCCCGCCTGCTGGCGCGGTGGGTCTTGTAACCTCAATCGGGATGAGTTCCACCGCCTCTTGGTAGCGTCCCGAGAGGAGGTCCAACTCATCCCTGGGGAGATGGCAAGACCCACCGCGGGGCAGGCGGCCTCGTTCACTAGCGCCGATAACCAGGAAGACAGTTTCGAGACGCCCGGGTGCAAGGGGGTGGGGGGAACAAGGTGAGAACTTGCACTTAACACACCGACAGCCTCTTTGGCTTTTCTGCTCAAAAAAAGTGATGAGCCAAAGAGGCACGGCGCCAACACTCCCACAACCTCAGTCAACCAGCACGTCTACGTGGCAAGAAGAGGAACCCTGTCCCCTACGGCCAAGAACTTCGCAAAAACCAAAACCCCGTGTGCATCTCCCTTACAAAAACTACGCAATCGCGGGGAACGCAAAAACAGCCCCGCCTTCGTCCTAAAAGCACAGCCGGAAGGCAAGAAAACGCCAAAAATCGCGCGGAGACCCCTCGAACATAGCTACTACTTGCGGGGCCCCGATTCCCGGCGGAGATCATAGATTCTACGGTGATCGCAAAAGGTAAGGGCAGACAACATCAATCCTCCTTCGCGTCAATTTTTCATGGCGCCAATGATACATCCGACAACGATTCAAGATAAGACAACAAAACAAACTTATCTTGAGCCGTTGTCTCCCAGCTACACAAGAAGTAAATGCAACGATATTTTTCATAGTTCAGCGCAAAGCACCCGCGTCAATCAGGGGAGGAACAAATAGGCCTCTGGGCATGCCGTAGGAACCATTACGCGGAAAAAAAAAAGTTGATCAGCCAATTGCGGCCAGATACACAGTAATGCAAAACAGAAGTGATGAGGTTCGAAACGAAAAGCACAGAAACAGATTCCTCGTCACGCCTACAGCCATTCACCAATAGCCCAACAAACATGATACCCGTTCGAACGCAACTCTACCTCATCAATTCAACCTCGCCGCTGTTCGTTTTGTTTGCAGCAACAGGACCAGCAGCACCACCAGCAGCAGACCAACTGCAACAAACGGGCCATCTCTTTCGATCAACACTCGATCAACACAGTATTACAGCGCTTCTCCAGCTAGGGTGTTTCCGCGATATCTGCAGCAGTACCAGAGCCACCACCACCGCCACCGCCACCGACAGCAACGCTCTCAGTGGCCCTCCCCCGCCTCCGTTCCAGGCCCGAGATGCTCTGCTTGAACACGAGCGATATCCTCGCGCCGACCTCCTCCTTGGCGACCTTCACGCAGTGCTGGTAGTCCCGCTGGCACCCGTCCGTCATTCTCACGCAGTCCCCGCTAGAGAGGTAGAAGGCGTGCCTTCCGCGGGGGGAGTGGTCCAGGGTCCGACGCAGGGCGAACTGCCGCGTGTCTCCCACCGACACCACCGACGTGTCCTGCGTCCAGACTGTGCCGACGTCTGGGTCGGAGTGATATCGCATGGCGCTCGACCTGTTGCAGGGTCGCCGCGGACGGCAGGGTAGCGGGGACGAGGAGGGGGGGGGCAGTCGAGGGGGCGTAGAGGGTCATGTTGACGTCAGCGGGGGGGGATGTACGCGTATGCAGTCATCCTATACGTGCCTGCGACTGCTGCAGTGTCCGCAGGAGGAGTGTGTACATCGCGCCGCTCTCACTTTTGGTGAAACTGGCACCAAGTGGCTCCAAATGCACCGTGGTACCTAGATATAACATGGCCGCGCTTCCCCCCCCCAGCAAAACCACGGCAACCCTGGCACCCGACAGAGCCACTCCCCTTCAAAACGGCGCACGACAAAAACAACGAGCATCATCATGCGTACGATTCTCTCAAGCACGCCGTACGCGAAACTGCGCTTGGCCCTCTTGTGGGGGCACGAGACTGCACAAACATACCACCCCGCGAGCGATACTGCCTACAAACAGTTCGTCTTACATACCACGCTTCTTCCTCGCACACGCACGGCGCGTTCTCGGCTGCAAACTATGAGAAAATGCGCGTGCGCGCAATAGGAAATGCGGGTCGTACCTGGACTCGTACAGGTTAAGCAAGACCCCGTCATAGAGCACCCCGGTCCGCTCGTAGAGGGCGTCGCGGAGGCGGAGAACGTTCGGCGAGAACGGCGCAGGCTCCATGACCTTCCCGCTGTAGGCGAAGGGGAGGTCATCGCTACTCTGCCACGCCGTGAGCCTGGACTCGGAGAGGACCTGCATCAAAACATGCACTCCCGCAGGTGCAGCAACAAAAAAAAAACTGGGCAAACGACATAAAACGACGGCTACAACGAGCGGACTGCCGAAGGAGGTTGTGTACATCTGGTTGTCTTTTGGTGCACTTTCATTATCTAGCCGGGAGCGTGCAAAGCGCAGTGTGTGGGTGCCTGCGATAGAACAGACAGGGAGAGTGTGTGGTAATTCGGGAGCGGTGACTCGAGCCTCTAGTCGGGATGGATGTGCATAACCACCACAGCGTAGTTCCAGCAGGTCCGGTTGTGGCTTCAGAGAGAATCTGCTTTGCCGCCAACGCTTTGGGCATGCCCTTTTCCACAGAAAAACAACACGAAGCACCCACACAAAACGTTCCAGCGAAACGGGATGCACTTGTGTAGTTTCAGCCCATCGACAACCAAACAAGTCACTACTTTCGCACGACAATAACTGCTTGGGTAGCAATCCACCCGATACATACGTGTCGAGGAACGTGATGAGAAACAGTTTTTTGTGGCCTTTCCCCTCTGTGGCCCCCGCCGGCGCGTCCAGAAAGCACCCTTGGCACGTGTAAACGTCCAGCGTAAATTGGGGGGATGGCAACACACACAAAATCGCACGATGTTTGCAATCGGAGCGGGCATAAACCTCCTGGTGCCGAGCAAGAGCAACCACACATTGTCCGACAAAGGCCCTACAACGCGTCACAGCCACAGAGAGACGTCACACCTTTCCACCGCCGAGAATAATCTCGTCCCGTCGGAACACCACCTCATCCCTGAAGTCTTCTACGCGCAGGCCCTCAAACAGGGACGGAATTGCTCGGAAAGGAAGGTTCTCGACCCTGCTCCGGAGCTCCTCCACCGCCTCGTCGCCTTCCCATGCGCCCCTGCCATTGCTTCCACCTTTCCTCTCCGTCTCTACTGCCGCCTTCGCCCCACGCCCGGGCGCTCCTATCGGCGTCTCTGCCTCCCGCACGGCCTCTGCTTCGCATGCCTTCTTCTTCCTGTTCCTCTCCGCCGGTGATTTCGAGACTCCTAATCGCTCGAGCGCCCACAGTACGTTCGTCACGTGGCCATCGTCGATGCCGGCCTCCGAGGAGGCTGCCCGCGCGACAAGTGCCACAAGCTGGGCGAGGCGGTGGTGGCCACCACTAGCGGCGGCACCGTCGTCGTCGTCCGCCGGGAGCCACTGGATCAAGCCACACGCCCACACGACGTCGGCCGCCTGAGGTCCCGAGAGGGAATGGTTGGTGCCACCTGCTGCTGCTTCCGCCGCCGTTTCGCCGCCGTCCGCGGCCGCTGGCGAGCACGCTGCCAGGAAAAGGGCCTGCAGCCGTGGGTCTGCGAGGACGGCTTCCCTTGCGGTCTGCCTGGAGACCTGGACGAGAGGCTGTAAGCGTGCGAAACAAGTTGTTGTTAGGACCGGCGTTAGGGGATGGGAGTGGTCATGAACATACCGTTGTTCTATTTGACGAGCGGGAAAGGCAGTGCCCCCTCTGTCGGTTTAGCTTCTGGTGACGTATCGATGGAAATTAATCTTGCAGGCGAACTGCTGCACAGCAGCGACAGCAGCACAAAGAGACGCTGTTTCATAACAGCACATACGAGCGTGATGGATGCGGAGCTCAGTTACCTTCGCCAACCTCAGCAGGGCCTGGGAAAGCAAACCAGGCCTCAGCGCTGCCCTGTGGCTGTACGCAACACCGAGGAGGTCTTCATGCGAAGCGTGCTGGACGGCGAGCGCGGCCAGCGCAGCAGCTGTGGACGGCGTCTCCCTGACAGCATTAGCAGCCGCACCAGCTTGATGGGGAGAGCCGCTAACCCCTGCTCTACATCCTCGGCTTCCCTTCCCTCCACGGCGAGCGTGCATCCTTGTTAGAGGCGACGGGCGGTCGTGGGCCGCCGGCGTGACGTCCGGAGGCGCGTGGCGGAGTGCTTGAACTGGAGGTTGCACTGGGAAGCCCGGTGATCGCGCCAGTCCCGAACTGATAAGGACGGCCAGCAGACAGGTGTGAGGGTTCATATTTCTCTCGTGGACATGTATAAGGCAATGCTGGGGTGCCAAGCGTCAGGATGGAGCTAGAGCGTGTGTGTCGCATACGTCTCAGTGCGCAGTGCGGCGAAACAAGGTCAAGGTGTTCCAGTGCAACTTGATGGGATTTTTTGTTGGTTGCGCCGCGCGGTTCACCCCCCCCCCGTCTCTACACTCCACGCAAGGTGCAGTGCGTGTGCGCTCGCAGACTCACCATGCCTGAGATGAAGCTGAGAGAGTTTCATGTAGACATGCGGCGAACACTGACGCTTGGACTCCTCGCAGCAGGGCATGGGCCGTTTCTACTGGCTTCGTCGTCAGCTGTACAAGATCTGGATCCAGCTGCCCAAGATACCTCGTCTACACGGCCGTTGATTTTGGCTCATGTCGTTAGTGGCTCGGAAGAAGGAGGGGCTGACGGAATGTGTGTTGCACCTAGAGAACGACCGGGTGATGGTAGTGCTTGAAGCAATCTTGGCTCTTGTGTCTTTCGTGAACCATGTCGTGTATAATATGGACTGATTCTTGCTGTGTCGTCTACCATCGCCTGCGGCTTATGTATTTACTTCTTTTTTTCTCTTGCCTGGATGATCGATTGCCAGATATTCATGCGTTGACCCCATAGCTCAAGCCTCCAGCTGTGTCCACGTGAAGGAGCCTCTACTTCGCTTCGAGCAACGAAAAATGGTGACTGGTGATAGCGCGACGGGGCACATACAACAACATGTGAGGTGTCAAAGAGCGACGGGCTGCTGATTTTCTTTACGCAACTCTTTGTTGTCACAGCTTCTAATAGTCTAATAGCCTTCATGAGGAGGGTAACGAAAGAACAATAATACCGTTTCGTTCGTAAAAGCTCTACAACCCGATGAGAACTACAAGGCGTAAATAGGGCTGCTGTGCGGCTAAACTCCCAATGGAAACACTGGGGGGTCTTGCCATTCGAGCACGTTACCAACCGGGCCACACCACCTTCCATGCGATGCCGCCGTTGCTGGGAGGGCCACCGCCGCCGCCAGAGGAAGCGGCAGCAGCAGCAGCAGCAGCGGCAACAGCGTGGAACATGGTGGCCCGGTTGGTGATGTCCTCAAAAGGAAAGACGCTCCCAGCGTTTCCAATGCGAACTAGGCCGCACGGCAGCCCTGTTTACGCTTCGTAGGGTTCGTCGGGCAGAGCTTTCAGGAACGAAAACTGTGTCTGCTTCCGTGTCTGTATAAACGGCAAGCTCCGTGCAGATCCGGCGCATGTCTTGGATGACGCGTGCTGGGTTGAAATCCTGGTCGGGAGTCACTGTCAAGGATATGGAATGCTCGTGCAGCTCATGGGTACGGTGCTTGTATCCCCACGGCCTCGTATTTTCGAGGAATGCTCCGCAACAAACGCCCCTGTTGTGGTCCAACCCAACGTGGACTGATTTGTGAGGCCGCGCTGGCCCCCAGTTCGAACGTAGCGAGCATAACTTGGGGGTTGAATATCATCCCGCTCTTGTTCTGGGCACTCTTCCAGGTCCTTGTGGTTAAGCGAAAAACCTGTGTCGTTGTAGCTCCAGTTCCGGGATCGGTCGGGGCAGTCTCCGCTTCCGAGGACCTTGTGGAGTTGTCCTACCAATAGTCTAAAGGGCGAGTTGAAGGTTTCGTCAGCCGATGTAGTCGCCTGGATCTCCGCTGAGCTCGGCGAATCCTCTATGGATCTTGTCGCCTGACAAGCCGGTGGCCATGATCAACGACTCTTGCTACTCGGGTGTGCAAACTCTCGTGCAACACCAAGACTCAAACCTTGTTTTTTAAGCAATTGCACTGCTGTCACTGCCGTCGCTGTACAGTAGGTGGCATGTGATACTACAATGAAAAGTCAGCGTGACTGAGTAGTCTAATGGGGTAAGTCTTTAGTAAACGTAATAGACGCACGGGTTTGAGTTCGAGATGATCGCTTTGACAAGCGCCCTTAGCTTTTTTCCTGCAGCGCCTGGCGAGGGGTCCGTCCCCGGAGACCTCTACTTCTAAAAATCTCAGTGACCAGCCGGGTGGCTACGAGCCGAGAGTGTATCTTTTGTCAGAAAGGCTTACCCCATTAGACTACTCAGATGAGTAGTCTAATGGGGTAAGCCTTTCTAACACACATGTCACTATTTACACACAGACGCCCAAGCCGTCCTGTGACGGTTGCAGACTTGGCGATGCCTTCACAACACCGCATCAAACCCACGCAGTAGAAGAGCGTTGTTCTTGTACTACAAGCACTCCCAACGAATTGCCGTGCTCGAAACCACACGCTATATCCGTCCTCACCACTACACAACAATGTCTCCCCGTGTGCCGATGTTTACCTCTGAAAGAAGACCCGACGGACAATTTTCCGCGGAGCCGCGCCAATCTACCGCGCGACCTCGAGCCAATTGAAAGACGAAGATCTCGCCGTCGGAACAGAACCACAAGATGCGTGGGTGTGGGTGAACGTAGCCACCCAACCCCAACGGGATGCTCCTTCACTGACCGTTGTCACCGTTCCTGACACGGGATGTCCAGACGATGTCCGATCATCCCTCGGGCGCCAGCTACAAGGGAAGGGGGGCGTTCTAGACGAGGCTCTGGTCCTAGAGCTAGAGAACCTTGGCGAGGTGTATCGTCGCGCAGGAAGGTGGGGGTTCATACATGAGCAAACTGACGTAAGATCAGCTCGAGTCATGAGTGTGAACGAGGCCAATCGCCATTTGGTCCAGGTTTTGGCTGGAGACGAGCAGCAACGTTGTTCTCTGCAGCTTACTACAGAATACCAAGGTGCAATAATGATCGAAAATTGCACACGTCGGTCGATAAACGTTACCACTGCTAGTGCTACCATCTCTCGTAACGTGTTCGCAGCGAGAGCGAAGGTTTTTTGGTACCTGCCACATGCCAGATGCATAGTTGGCAACCCTGCCCCTAAAGATCTCTCTCGTACTAAATAAATAACCAGGCTCCATGAGGTGGCGTCGTGCTACAGCAAGACAGCCTCGGGAAGCGATCCGTCAGGCCGGCAGCAGGGGTGCAACACTCGCATCGCTCTCTGCAGAGTACAAGCTGCCAGGCGAACAAATACACAAACGTTGCGGGCCGAAGGCGGTGGGGGGCGACCTCGCATCGATAGCGAGCACCACAGGGAGGAGGTCGAGTGCCTCGCTGGAGCTCTGCTGGTGGAGGATGGCCGGGAATCGTGTCTTTCAACGGTCGCAGATAACGCTGTTAGAAATGCGCACTTGACCGTCGGCATGTTTGTCTTGTGCGAGGAATGGGGCGTTAACGAAGCGCTCCACCACTTCTCGGCGGCGGCTTCAACCAGTAGACAGCGACAGGAACCCCTACCGGAGGAAGAAGATAGTAGAGGTGGGGGCGAGTCTGTTCCAGGTCGAGACGGTTTCGAGTGGGGACCGGTGTGGCTACTCCAGGTAAGCGCGTGTTTTCGGCTGAAGATATGCCGTCCCGTGTGTGGCGGAAACCGTACGCACATCGCAAACGGCTTCGGTGGGCAAAGGTCGTCAGAATACGGGATGGTACTGCTGTGTGCCAGTATTACACCGCTCAAGATCGCCGTCTATCTCCCGTTATCACGGGTTGTTGACCTCGTTTTGCTCATGAGCTCTCAACCTCTTCCGTATTCGGAACTTCCATTTGCTCAGATGGTACGGGGAGGCCACCGGACTTCTTGTATTCATGATTCATTGACGGTTGAAACTAAGACTGGCGACAATTATATGCAATCGCTTGACCAGCAAATGTTCCGTGAATATTGACTCCTCGTAGAAACTCACTTCCAGGCTGTTCAAGGGCGAGTGGACGAGGCATCGATCGGATTTGCAGCAAACGCGACGGCCTTTGGGGAGGCATGGGCCAGCAATCATCTTAGATCCTGGCGCCGGCGCTTGGGCCGCACGTGTTCCGGTATTGGCATGACGGGTGTTTTCGAAGGCGCGGAAAGGTATTATCCTAGTACAGACTGCCATTCCGAACTTTGTTGTGCCTTCACATTTCGCAAGATTTTTTTTCGAAGAAGATAGCTGTGTACGTCAGTCACCCTATACAGCTCGGCAATACGACAATAGAAAGCACGTCCTCTGATGGTTTTCGTCGCGCCACGTCTCGTGTTTCACACTCGAGACAGATGTCTATGATGGCACAAGACGACACATTCCCCTGGCCGTCTCCTGACGCGTGTTCGCGGCCTCCTGTGGCAGGCTCATCATCCTCGCTGGGGCGCATGCGAGATCTACCCGTGGGAGCTTGGGCGAGGCCGAACACGTAGCAGATGGGCTTCGCTTCGGCAAAACAGAAATGGCCGACCTCCACCTCACCTTTTCTAGAACGCTACTCCTCCAGGGTGCACATGAGGAAGCCGACGGCCATGCCCGCGCGGCGGAGTATCTGCTTGAAACGACAGCCCTACCCTCGGCCAGAAGGAAACTCGAGGAGGAGGAGGAGGAGGAGGAGGAGGAGGAGGAGNCAGCCAGCGCGAGAGCATGAACCAGCGGGGGGGGTCGATGACGTCGGTGACGGGCGGCAACATGGGCGAGAATGGGGAGGAGGAGGAGGGGGAGGAGGAGGAGGAGGAGGAGAGGCAGAAAAAGGCTAGCGATGGAGGCCGCAGAGGCGGCGGCACCAGCAGCAGACCATTACATGACAATTACGGCTCTCGTGCTGCTGCCTCCCTTCGCCTCGAGATAGAACTGCTCTCGCGCACTCCGGTTGTGCTAGAGACCAACGAAAGCGCTCCATTGCTACGAGAAGAGCTGCTGGAACTGCTGGAGACCTTGGGAAAGACACCAGACACTTTTTGGGGATCCATTCCGAGCCCGTTGGGTGTGGGCGTCCGCGCTCAGTTTCTTGCTACATATCAGGTATTGTAACCTCGGACTTAACGGTTGGTGAGCATCCATAGTCATCGATCCCTATTCCGGAGGTCCATGCATGCTTCTTGACACCACGTGGTGTGTGCTGGCGTACAGATATAGTAAATACTGTCATGCAACCTCTCCCCCGTAAAATAACACGTCCTCATTCGGTTTTTGGGCCAAACAGTGCATAAGAGCTATAAGCTCTGCAGCGTTTTTGGATTTTGTCCAACCTGTCCAGTCTCGTTCTTTCGGCAGGGTCTCGACGACAAAACTGTCGCGACCGCGCTCGCGGGAGCCTTTGACACAGCCTCCGGCGGGACGCTGAGCTACTTATCGCGTCACCTCCTCCTGGAGAACCGCAGGCGAGATGAGAAGTCGAGATCGGGCGAGAACAAAGTCGCCGCGACGTCGCAGGGGATCGGTGCGAAAATGCAGATACCGTCCAGGCCTAAGACGAGCTCTTCGACAGCTGAGATGTCTGTCATCGCCGGCTCACATCCAATTAAGGTGGCCGAGGTCGATACTACTGGTCAAGATACGGAGGCGGTGGCGGGCCTGGGAGCGGCAAGTGTTGGCGACAACATTCAGGTAGTCAGTGTGGGATTTGTGTCGGCGCATTTCAGGTGGCATTCCGTCGGTAGACTAACCATAGGTCTACTGGAGCGCCTCTGCACCAGCCGTGGTCTACAGGTTTTCGTGATCGACTCCTCGAGCGGCGGTCGCCACAGGAGCACGGCAGCCACCGTTCAGGATACTTCTCGAGGTCAGCCTGACGAAGACTTCGTCCTCGAGAGGCTCGCCGCTGCGGGGGCTTCCATCGTGCGAATACAGGCAGCGGCGGCGCCCTCCCCTAGGAATGGTGTCGACGCCACTTCACCAACACGATTGGCACCAACAACAAAAGTCGTAGGAAACTCTGATAGTTGTGGCGATGGAGCCGGCAGCGATGCGTTGCAGACAGCACGGGAGGCCATCGCTGCGCTGCGGCTCGACGTCCTAGTCTACGGCGACGTCGGGATGGACGCGTTCACCACGGGGCTGGCGCACGGCCGACTCTCTCCCGTCCAGGTGGCTTTCTGGGGACACCCGGGCACCACCGGGCTGTCAACCATGGACTACTTCGTTACGTCGGACCTTTTCGAAGGGGATCTCGGCGCAGTCTGGGGTGACAGGCGACGACTGCGAAGTGACGACGGGGGTGCCAGCAGTGCAGATGACGATACCCGCTATGTTAAGCACAGGGAGGAAGCCGGACGCAACCGCGACATTGTTGGTGATGAGGCCACAGCAGCGAGGGGTGAGGGCGATGGCCCCGAGGCTTGGGCAGGAGCCGAAAAACAAGACAGGCAGCACGCGTTCTCGGAGCAACTCGTGAGGCTGGTTGGGCTCGGATTCGTCTTCGACGATCCTGCGCTGACGTTTGGGTGGGATTCCGCGGGCGAGGACTCGGGCAACGTGCCAGGTAGGAACGAACCATCGGGAGACTCTTGGAATGGCAGCAGAAACGGGAAGCACGACAGAGGAATGGAAGATAGAAATCAACGTCACTCTGAGATCAGCCTCCCTTCATCCTGCGGAGGCGACGGTCGTGCCGCTTCTTCTCCAGAAGTAATGGAGAAGAGGGAGGCTGAGGAAGCGAACCGTCCACGGCTCTACGTCTGCGCCCAGTCCCTCATGAAGATGCACCCCGCGTTCGATGCGGTACTTGCCGGCATCCTGGCGGCGGATCCCCTGGCGCAGATCCTGCTCCTCCGAGACTCTCGCCAACTCCTGTGGCACTCGCGGTTCCGGCGGAGACTCCGGGCGGCGATAGATGCGGCCGAGCAAGGCACCAACTACGCCGCCGTCTCCACGTGCGCAGCTACAGCCCACAACGGGACCGGCCCGGCGTCGTCACCGATACGGGGAGGGCTTTGGTCGCGAGTGCGCTTCGTGAGCCCCCTGTCCGGGCGCGAGTTCTTTCGTCTGCAGTGTCGCGCTGACGTGGTCCTGGACCCGTTTCCCTTCGGCGGGGGAGTGACGACGTTAGAGGTGAGTTGTCCCACGATTGTTGGTGTTGGCCGCAGGGGGCGTGGGGGGGAATACTGGTTTGATGTTTGTCGTACTGTAGCCCGTAGCCGGTTGATGACACATTTGGGGCCTCTCTGCTTGATTCATCAACACTGTTTTTCGTTGTGCGTGGTGGGCTCGTTGAACTGCTGCACGGATATACTGTTTGAAGCGCAGATCCTACCTACAAAGTCGTCGCGGAGCACGTCGTTGCTAGGCGAACCAGGGCGAAAGGGGCCTTCCGGGGTAAACATCTTCCCCGAGAAATAATGCTGTACCTACGTTCCTATCCATCTTCCCGTTCTTCGTGCGTCCGAGCACTCGTCATAGGCAGCGTGAGATAAAACAGGCGAAGTTGTCCAAACAAACGAGTTCCGTCTTGCGCATGGAGTAGGCTACATGTAGACTGTAAGCGCGGAGGTTCGTTGTTGCATCAAGCACCTTTCTTGTCACAACCGACGCGAACAACACTTGTCTGTCCCCCGTTCGCTGACCGAGCCCACCCAGGCGCTGGCGTGCGGAACGCCAGTGGTGACGGCCGGCGCCCTGCAGAGCGTTCACCGGCTCGCCGAAGGCCTGATTGCCGCCGCGGCCAACACTCAATGCCAACGCCGGGAAGAGCACCACCCAGAGGAACACAAAGGCGAAGTAGGAGCACTAAAGACGACGCCTAGCGGCAGGAATACCGGTGGTTGTGTTGATCCGGCCGGGGGCGGGCAGCAGACGGCCGGCGAGGCACCGGCAGGAGGGGTGCCAGAAAATCGTCGCGAAAATACGACAAAGCACCCCGATTTCACCAGCACCGATGAGACGAGCGGTGTGTGTGTACCAACAACGCGGCACACCCCTGGGGCAGCTGCTGGCACAGCGGGTGCGAGGGACGCAGCCGTGAACACCGACGACGAGCAACACATGGACAACAACGTGCTCGTGCGAAGCCTCATGGCGAGGTCAACGACAGAGTACATCGCAAAGGCTGTCGCGGTGGCCGCCCCCGGAGCGCTCAAGAGGAAGGTTCGACGGGCGTTGCGCTGTGGTCGCAACGGCCTGCTGCACGGAGGAGGAGGAGGAGGAGGAGGAGGAGGCGATGAGGATGGCAGCGACGTGGCGGCGGACTGGGAGAGGTTCCTGACGAACGCCGCCGCGTCGACCACCACCGCGAACTCTTTGGCACGGAGCGTGTGACGGGTGACAAAAACATGATCAAGAACAACGGCGTCAACGCCGATAGAATTGCACGCTACACATAATGGCGGGGCCCGGGTCTGCATAATAGCAATCAGCGTATGTTTTTTTCTGGGGAGTTGGCTTCCGAGCGCAAAAGAACAACATCGAGGAAACCAAGCACCAGCGATATTAGTTACATGTGCGCGATAGCACCCGGGTTCTCGTACGTATAGTTTCATCTTGGGGTGGGCGAGTGACGAACAGCTAAGCGCACCGATAGGGCACCCCTTGACCGAGCTCGAGGTACTACTAAATCACGACTGGTGTACCGTACCAGATGAGCTATACCTTGGATTTAACTACGCGCACTTTGGGACAACAAGCCACGTCAAGAGAATGGACAAGGATGTTTATCTTTGGGGAATGCTCCAGCAGCGAGATTAAGAGGGGCAATTGGCAGGCTGAGAGTCGTAGTAACGGCTGCGCGGCAAACGTCCGAGGGCATGAAACACACCTGGTGCGAGCGTTCAGGTCTATGTAGCACCTCCGGCGCGTACTCCATAGCACGGCACCGGTTCAGCAAGCCTTAGCAAACAACGAAGTCAGTGCACTCGGATTCTCTTACATGTATCGCCAGGGCATTCAATAATCGTACAAGACCAACAAGCAACAGCCGAAACTACACCCGAACAACGCGAAACCGATAACCGATGCTCCTTGCCTACTTCTCTCCTCCCGGCTGGTACAGCCACATCAACACGACGAAGGCGTCTCAGCCTTCACGCGGGCGTGGCCTGATCAGAGCAGCCGTGTGGCTCGCGCCGCACGTGATGTGCGCCACCTTCATCCGCGACAAAGGCTTAACCCGCTCCGGCTGATTCCGGGTTTGCGACTTGCCCCCCGTACCGTTGCCGAGGCAGTACGTGCCACCTGACCCGATTGTATACAACGCTCCAGTGTCTTAAGCGCGCCGATGGCAGGGCGCGCGCGCCGGGGGGGGGGGGACAGAGGGGGATA